ATTTTAACCAGCATTGGTTTATTTTCGGGGCTGCCCTTCTCTGCACGTGCTCTGAGATGGTTTCCAACTACTGGGTGCTTTCTGGGGGTGGTGAAACCAGGGATGGGGCGGGGCAGGAGGGGAAGAGGGACCATGTGTAGAAATTTTACAGAGATTAAAACCTAACCCAGCCTCAGCAGCAAAGCTCGCTTTGACATGCCACCTGCCTGGCATCCACCCAGCATCTTGGAAGGTAGATCATCTGCAGGATGGGCCATGAGCAAAGGGCAGCAGGAGAGGAAGGGTTTCTGGAACAGATAGGTGAGCACCCAAGGACAGATGTGACAACATGCAAGAGGGGAAGGAGAGCAGGATACACAAGCAGGGGAGAAAAGGATTGCTGAGAGCTGGATGCTCATAAAATGTCCAGGGTTGCAATGTGGTGCCCCCAGGCACAGGAGGCAGCAATAGCTTTGTTCAGCAGAGGCAGGAACAGTGCAGTGGGATGAGACTCGCTCCTTCTCATCCTCTGCATCCAGAGGACCTCAGCTCTGGTCCCACCACAGGCCATCCCAGAGCAGCCTGCGAGGGGAGACTCCTGGGGCTGCCCTGTCCAGATCCAGAAGCTGCAGGAAGCAGCTGCACCATTTATCAAGCAGCAAGCACGGATTTCTCATCAGCGAGTCGCTGTGGGGCTTTCTCCGCTCAGAGCCATCCTCGCCAGTGTGCAGAGCCGGGAGCAGCAGCTCCTGATGTGCGGCAGAGCTTGCAGCCCCAACCTCGAAACCAAGGGTGCTACGTATGGGGGTCTGCCAGGACAGCAGTTCCCACCAGCCATGGCAGTGGCATCCAGAGGGCTCACAGCTCCATCTCCCAGCATGGCAGCAGGACTGGAAAACTTACTTATACCAGGCCAGAAAATACCTTAAAAATTAAAATGCATTAAAAAGAAAAAAAAATTCAGCAAGGTCTTCCCTGCCCATGGAAGAAAGCACAGCAGGGCTTCTGCAGCCCTTCTCCCCCATCCTGATCACCAGCCTCCAGTCCCTGCTGCTGCCCATACCCCCAGCATCCCACCACACACTTCCCTCTTGCCTCTGTTTCCCCCTCCACCACCTGACAGGTAAGGGGAATGGAAAATGGGCCAGGGTTGTCTCCGAGAGGTGGTAGTAGGGCAGCTGGCAAAGAGCACGGTGCTGCACCGTGACCCCCCAACCCGTTTGGGGATTCGGCAGATCACACCCCTCCGTTGGGAAAAGTGAGTCAGGACCTGAGCCGCTGCCAGCCCGTATTCCTGGCATCCCAGCTCAGCACCCTGCAGCTCCAGCCCTGCCTGGCTGTGATCCCAGCCCCCTTGGGACCAGCAGTGGACTGGGAAGGACAACAGTAGGAAGACCCCTTGACTGGAGTGCAGGGGGCTCGCTCCCCCCACCCCACACCTGCCCAATCCCCTCAGCAGCCACCAACAGCCCCATGCTGCCCAGCCTGCCCACAGCCACATGCTGACCACGTAGGTCTCAATGCATTTTTATTAAATTCTTACAAAACAGAATACAAAATTCTGGCATCAACAATTGTTATAAAGGAAAACTTCAATTCAGCTGTATCAGTTCACCTGGTACATACAGTAAAGTGCTTGTTTTTGTGGGGTTTTTTCCTTTTTTTTTTTTTTTTTGTTTTCATTTTTATTTTCCAGCCAGCCCCCGAATGGAGGCTGCCATTGTACAAACCAACAGTGCGTTAACATGACTTTTGTCGAACCAGCTTTGGCAGTCTTCATCAATTGTAAAGTGGAGAAAGTTTCTCCTGTTTTGATAAAAAAAGTTAGCTTCACAGTAAACGTTTCTAACCAGTTCTAAGTCGAGTTAGTTGGCTGAAGGAAGGGCAGGGGGGAAGGAGAGGAAGCCAAAACACTTAAAATTTCCAGCTTAAAAAAAAAAATGAAAAAAAATCTTTTTGAAGTTGGTTTCCAAGACAGATGCTCTAGGGGGGGGAAAGGCTTTGAAAGAGGAAGAGGAGGAAGAAGGGCATTGGCAAGAGGGGTTAGCTGGTGCTGGACAGTGGGTCGGGGAGCATCTGTCTGGAAACCACCTCGGGAGAGGCACTGGCAGCGGGGAGGGGATGTCCGGCCCCGGCATGAGCATCTCCCCAGCCGGCCTGGTGCAGTGCCAAGTCCTGCACTGCTGAGGCACCCATGGGTCCCCAACACCGCTGCGAGTCAGGTCGAGAGGTGTTTTAGAGTCGATCCCTCAGCTCTAGAGGCATTTAAGGATCCTCTATAACGCACAGACCCTGCCACGCACGCCGCACACCAGAGCTGCTGGGAGCTTACCATCCCGGCGGCACAGGATTCCCCCACCGAGTGCTACGTCAGGAACGCCGGGTCCACGATAAAACCAAACCCCCGAGCCGAAACATGAAGCCAAGCCTGGGCCAAGCAACCGGCAAAGAAGTCAGATGCTCCCCAGCACGTCCATCCCCTCGATGCAAACACCCACAGCATCTGCCAGCTGCAGGCATCCCCGGCCAAGGATACCCACGTATCAGAAAAGTGCCCACAGGGACGAGCTCCCCGCACAGCACGGGTCACCCAGGCCACGCGCCAGCCTTCAGAAGAGTATGTGTGTATATCTATATATATATACATACATATATATATATATGTGATAGGTCTTACATGTGGGAAGAGGGGGAAACTCGATGTTTGCCAACAAAAGCATGGGGGACAAAAAAAGAAAATTTTTTCAGAGACATCCCCCCGCCATCCCCTTCCCACGATTATTTTTTGTTTTTTTAAAAAAGGCTGCGGCGTGCAGCATTAACAATAGCTTTCACAATACCAGCTCAAGGCATCGCGTACTGTACATCATTCAAGTATTTCTTAATATAAGACAACGAGGAATTATCTACAACTGATAAAACAAAATAAGCTATAAAAAGTAACAATGTACAATCAAGATGGATTTTTTTTTTTTCCTTTAAAGGAGGCCTCTCCAGGGTGTCCCAGTGCCTGCATGGGGGGGGGGGTGCCTCCCCTCACCACCACCTCGCTCCTCCCCACCCTGCACAGTGGGACCAAGAGCACCCAGGGGAGAGGGCAGATCGCAAGTGCAAGGCAGGGTTTGTTTTTTTTAGGTGTGGGGGGGGAGCCCCCCTCCCCAACCCACTGATGCCGCTCAGCAGAAGGGCCTGGAAGGGTGAGAAAAGACGGTCCCTGCCCCAAACTCCATCAACACCCGAGATCATAATCGCCCAAGATAACTCACACACACCTCCCTGAAACAAAAAACAACATATATTGCATAGTATTGCTGTCAGCAGTCTTAAAATAAAAAGGAGAACTTTTTTTTTTTTCTGAGACAGTGACTGTCTTCAGCTGAAGACCCAGGGAATTCTCTTCCCCAGCTCAAAGCAAGCTCCCAAAGCCTTCACCTGTGCACACGATGGGCCAAGGCTGCTTTTTCAAAATATAAAGCTCAAAGCATCGAATTGGAAGGGAAAGAAGATTGCTAATGAAGGAGGCACCCTCCCTCCCCGTGGGACATGGGCAAGGCAGCGGGTGCAGCTCGGTGGCACGACCCGCGGCCATGCCCGCGGTGGGGAGCAGGTTTGCTGCTCTGGCTCAGTGCAGGGGGTGTTTGGAGGAGCTGGACACCAGCCCGACTCCCAAGCACGGGCACCACTCGCTCGCCTGGACGGATCCAGCCCTGCGCAGCAAAAACCAGCCAAGGGCCTCATCCCGATTCAGCATCCCAAGTCCTTCCCCCGCGTGCATCCCCTCCCTTCCCCAAAGCAAGCTCCGAATAGAGAGGGCAACGCCACGCATGCAGATGCACGAACACGCACGAACGTGGACGCACACGCGTGAACACGCACGCCCAGCTCTCCCCAGCCGCCCGTCAGACCCCGCGCTGCCCAAGGCGCTGCTGTCCTGACCCCAAACCCTCCAGCCCCACATCCCAAGCCCTCCCCAGGCTTCTCCTCCCCAGTGCCGTGGCCCTTGGGTGCTGCCACCAGCCCGGTTGCTCACCCGCCGGCATCCCCGGGGCACTCGGCACCCTGCGCACCCCCAGACCCTCCTGCCACAGCAGCCTCGGGACCAGCCCAAAGCCACGCCAGGTCGCACCGCCCTGCAGCGGGTCCCAACGCTCTTTAAGGGGTTGGGGGGTCCTTTGCTTTCCAGAGAGCACCCTGCTATTCCCAAAGGGGTATTTTGTTGTTGCTCCAGCTGTCCCAGAGACCTCATCCCCTCTTGCACCTCCACGAGGGCACAACCGCGGGCGAGCAGCCCCTCCGAAAATGGGTGCGACACCCGACCGGCACAAGAACGTGGCCCCAGACGCCTGTGTATCCCCCCCCGGCTCTGACCTTACCCCCAAGGAGCCACCAGCCAGAACGCAGGAGGAAAGGAAGACATTTCTCCATGCCCTGTAGAGAAGCACAGCTAGCAGTTTAAAACCAACAATAATTAAAAAAAAAAAAAAAGAAAAAAAAGAAAAACGGGGGTGAATAGCTTATTCTGGAAGCAGGCTGCGGAAGAAAGAGGGTGGCTTGGTGGGACAGGGCACGGCTCCCTTGCTGGCACCATCTCTCCCCAGCCCGAGCGGTTCCCTGCACAATGCCCACTGCGTCCCCCCCAAAGCACAGCCGGGGATGCCCCCGAGCATGGGACGGAGGGGCTCCCCGCACCCGGGAGGTGACTCCCAGACCCCCGGGAGGGGGTTTTTGTGGGATCTACCCCAACATCGGAGAAAGACCTGCAGCTCCGAGGGGAGGGACGAGGTTAAAACGCAACTCCCGTTGTTGAAAACGCGACCGAGGGTCTTTTGTTCACAGTATGAAATGAGCTGAAATCGTCAAAGCAGCCGCGGATACAAAGAGTCCTTTGGTGTCGGGGAGGGAGGAAAAACATGTCAGAGGAGAAACCAAGAGTCGGGAAACAAAAGTCCGTGTGTCTGTCAGATGTCCTTGAGTGTGCCCTGGGTGAAGCAACCTCACGCTTGATTTAATACCTTAAAAAAAAAATCTTAAACAAACCCTCCCACCCCCAGACCTACAAGATCAGCAAAACCTTGGAAACCAGCCACAGGGACGAGTCCTGATCTTGTCACTAGCCAGAAACAGTGGGGTTTTTGGGGGGTGGAGGGGTTGGAGGGGGGAAGAAAGAAAGAAAGAGAAGAAGGACATGGGGTACAGCAGGTCTGAGGGGCACAGCTCAGGCTTGGTCGGCCACCAGGACCAGCGGGGCCACCAGGTGCTGCCCGGGGGCCACCGCCTTGGCCAGGCTGCTCTTCTGCCGCCGCTTGGCCAGCTTGGACTCGGAGGGGGGGGAGAGCTGCATGGCCCGTGAGGTAGCTTTGATGATGATGGGTCGTGCTTCCTCCTCCGCCTCCTCCTCCTCGTCCTCATCGCGCCGTGTCAGCTGGCGGTTGACGGCGATGGCCTCGGCAGCAAAGGAGGTGAGCTCTTTGGCACTGCTGTTCCTGCGGGGGAGGCAAGGGCTCAGGGTGGGATGCGGGGAGGCTGGAGGGAGGTTGGGGTCAAATATCAGTGTGTGTCCCCCCCGCGTGCATGCCATGCCAGACCGGTCATGCACCAAAAACGTGGCTCGAGCCCAAATCACATGCTGCAACCGCTGCCCAAACAGCGAGAGCTGTGGCAGAGCCCCCAAAAAGCAGCAAAAGCGGAGAGCAGCCCCCGCTGGGGAGAGAAACCAGGATTTGGGGGACTGGGATATGCCCCCCCCCCACACCCCACCATCCCAGGGCCACCCGCGCTCACCTCTGCAGGATGATGGGGGTCGGCAGGGTGTTATCCGGGGCGCACTGCAATGAAACGCAGCCAGTCAGAGCCGGGTTTTCCCCACCCTGGCTTTTGGGAGCAGGGGTTTGGGAGGGGGACGGGGGACAGCAGCACTCACCCCCTGCACCCAGGGGTGCTCCAGGACCTGGGCCGCACTGAGCCGCTTCTTGGCATCTCTCACCAGCAGCTTGGAAATGAGGTCTTTGGCTCCGAAGGAGATGTGCGCCCAGTCCTTGTCGGGAAACTCGTACTTCCCCTCCTGGATGCTCTCAAAGAGCATGTTCTGGGGTGGGGGGGGAAGAAATAAAAGGGGTTGAGCCAGGAGCGGTGCTGCCAAACCGGCGGCGGGTTTTGGCAACGCCGGGGGTCCCCCGCGCACCTGGCAGGTGTGGCACGCCTCGCCCCGGTCCCAGCCGCAGTCGGAGCCGCAGTGACCCACGAAGGGGGGGTACCCGCTCAGCATGATGTACAGGATGACGCCCAGGCTCCACAGGTCGCAACGCTTGTCGTAGATGGATGCCTCCTCGTTGAAGGCTTCCACCACCTCCGGGGCCATGTACTCAGCGGAGCCGCACTGTGGGGAGAGGCGGGGGTGAGCCCCGGCACGGGGTCCCCAAAAGGATGGGGGAGCGATGGGGCAAGATGCTGGCCGGTGGGACTGATTGGGGGGGGTCCTGAAATGAGGGTGCAGACCCTGCTGCTTCCCAGGTTTGCTCCTGGCAGGACAGATCACCACTACCCGGTTTCCCACCATCACGCAGGGGATGCCGCAAACCTGCCTCTCTGGGGGTTGCCGCCCCATTAATAAAAAAAAAAAAGCCTAAAGGGGGTGTAACCCCCTCCCAGGTACCCCCACGGGGCAGCACCAGACCCACACCCCACAGCACCGCCGCCACCCAACCAGCTCAACGGGGCAGCATCCGTCCCATCGCCTGGGAGCGGCCGCAAAACACCGCGGGCGGGCAGCGGGGACGAGCCTGCTTTGCCTGTTCCCCTGCCTGACGCAGGCAGGGCCCGCCGGAGCTGGCAGAGGTACGGGAGCAGACGCGGGATACGGTGCCAGAGGAGTTAAAAGCGATTGCGAGGAGAGGCAAGAGCCAGCGGCTGGTCCTCGATGGCTGCCGGGGCTCTGGGGCTTTCCAGCGCACGTGACCCGCAACCCACACGGGCCTCGTGACCAGAGCAGAAAAAAGCTGCAGCCAGCAGATAATCACCCCGTAACGAGAGGCCTCCTCCTAATGAGAGGCCTCACCAGCCCCAGCAGCTGATGCCACCGCAGGGAAAAAAAAAAAAAAAAAAAAACCAACCAAAAAAACAAAA